GCAGAGCTGTGCTGATGCTGAGGAGTTCAGATAGAAAACAAAAACACATCAAAAGGAAAGTTGAGTTTCTGGCCCTTTCAAGGCTGCTTTAGCCTCACAGTCATCTCTAACCAGCCCAGGCCTCCTCCTCTCCATGCTGCCCATGTAATCATCACACAGCGCTGCCTCTCAGCCGCACTACACTACAGCTCCACAGTGAAGTGGTAAATGTCCTGCCAGAGAGCGCTGTCCAAACACTCAAGGCTCCCCGCACATATTCACAACTCAAACACCAATATTTCATCAAGCTTTGGCACTCGAGACCATACAGAGAGCTGTTTGTGAGATTTCTCCACGGGGTTCTGAACGATCCCAGTAAACACTTCAATATTAAAAAGATGTTTGTGAGAGTAAAGACGTGGGACAACCTCTTTTTTGACACATGCTGGATTTTCTTATTCTACAAAGTTTGCAGGAATGAGGATTTAAATTTCCTTTAAAAATAATTTTGGTGAACTCAAATACAATTTACCACAAGGTGACATTTTAAAGTCTGAGTAGCCTTAAATCTAAACTATGCTTTAGTTAATCTAATGTGACAAAGTTTGATTTTGACTCCAGTCTTAATTGAGACGTTAACAGGACTCATGTCTCTAAAATCTGGCGGAGCAGCCTGTTGGATAATCTTTTTGTATTGTCACTTAAACCTCTTAACGGCCGCTCTGTCTTTCACTAGAAACCCTAAGCTGCTTGATAAGGAAAGCTTTGTCCGGCCTGTGACAGACGGATCTCGACAGCTGCTGCGGTTTTCACCCGACTCCAAAACAGACCAAAGATGTGATTCACATTTGGCCCTGAGTGCAGATGTACACTGAATGAAGTTACAGTCACTGTGGAGGTTGATGGGCTGTACTTCATCTGGATCAAACATGCCAAGAAGTTTTATGCTCTATATAATAAGAACATAAACTTTTATTTCCATCACCAAACTTTCTAAAAAACTGCCTTCCAGACCCCCCTCACTAAGAGCCAGACAGCACCTGAGACACGGCAGCATGAAGTACAGAGATCCTGTTACTCTGACTGTGCAGTTGATTCAAATTTCCACAGACAGCCATGAAGGAACATCTCGCTTCCTGCTAAGCCTGGATTGAGATTTTGGGACGAGAGAGAGAGAAAAAAACCCTCAACAGCCCGTATAAAGACAGTAACTGCTGTACTGCTGCATGAAACTTTTGCTGTTATCCATGGCTTTAAAGGAGAAACAGCCACACAGGCGGGAGCAGCATGAGAGTGTTTGAAGGCTGAAAACCCCTCGGACATGCTTGACGCTCCCTGAGTGTGTATGTACGGTGGCCGATAAGGGAAATCAAACGATTTCCGCTTGGAGAAACAAACTGCATGATCAATAACTATGCAAATTTAAAAAACAAATGCAACAACGGAAATATGCTGCAAGTGAAGAATGATGCTGCAAAAAGCAGGAAAAACTGTGTTAAAACAAACTAGCTGAGTATACAATCAGTGGTGCAAATTCCAACATACACGCAAAACCAAGGAAAACAAATGCAACTCTCGATTTGGAGGAAAAGGCTACAAAATCAGAAAGAAGGCAACTTCAAAAAAAAAAAAACAACGCAAAAGTTCAAAACAAATGCAACACTGAAAATGCAGCAAATGAAAGAAAGTGCTGCAAAATGCCGAAACAACTGCAGGAAAAGCAAACACACTGTGATCACAATAAACAAACAAATAAAAACACAAACTCAGGAAACAATGCAAACATATCTGAAGTTCAGGGTTACTCTTCAAGGTTCTGAATTTCTGAAATGTTTTTCTCGAATGTTAAAATGTTTAGAGCAATCACCTTTGTCGGCCGACTTTTCTATGACCACCATTAAACAGTCTTTTGAGATTTGAAGGGGTATGTAACAGTCGTAATAAAGTGGTTCATATACATTTGTTTTGTTTCTTCTTTTTGCTTCCTGACAGAACTTAAACATCTGTGTCTCTGGCTGTCTGTGGATATTCTATAACTTAAACAGACTTCTCGGCATCTGAAATTAGAAACATTTCCCAAAGATTCCACTCATAAAACACTCCAATCCTTCATGATGGAATAGTCTGTTTTCCCCTTGTTTACCTCACACACACACACACACCACTCCTCTCTATAAAAGTGATCCTTTCTTTCCCGCTCTTTTTTTTTTTTTCCTTTCTTGGAAGCCAGACGTACGCTTCTTAAAAAAAAGGCCGCCTCTCAGAAGTTTGTAAGCGTTGTGGTTTCCTTCAGAGAGTTCCTACATAATGAGAAGTCATAAAGCTCTAACTTTGAAAGAATGAGAGCCGTCATAGAGAAAATAGAAATGCAGACAAAACACAAAGCTGCTAAAAATGCTTGAAACAGAGTGATCAGTGCGTTCACATTGCTCTCTTACACATTCACACAGAGAAATGCACACCGCAAATCCAAACCACATCCCATCAGGGGGCAAGTAAACAAACAGGAGTGCAGGAGGATGAAGAATGAGTGTGTGAAGGAGAGTTTGCCGACAACAGCAGACACATCAGGCTGCAGGAATTAAAACCAAAAGCTTGACCACATGCCTCTGGAGAGCTGAGTTCATCAGAGACCTGGGACAATGTTCTTGCAGCCACCTTCCACTGCCATACATCTGTCTCCTCCTCTCATCCCTTTACCTTAGAAGGGAGCAGGGACGGAGGATTAACAATTCTGCTGAGAGATAGAGTGTCAGAGTGAAGACTCTCCTGTCAGCAGTAGTGAGGCTTCCATCCAAATTTAGCTCAAATGCTGCTAATGCACATAAAGTTGCAGTTTAGTATGCATTCACTACTGTTCTGTGAATATTAGAAGTTAGGTGCACTGATATTATTATCTTCTGGCAGCGATTCTTCTGTCAGGTTGCATTAAACCTTTGCAGAAGAAGATGATGAATCTAGATCACATCATCAAAAGTGGATGTGTTGTAAAATAACACTGATGTTGGAAACATGCTCCGCTTGTATCTGTACACACAGTTTTGGTCACAATCATGCATGTGTATGCATGATGTATTTTTCTATTGTTTGAGGACACCAATTGTTTGTTTGTTTTATAGTTCTTGTTGAAAATAGAAACAAAACAGCAACCTAACCCTAACCCTTAAAAAATGCAGCTAATGCTGTAGTGCATTAGCTCCAGTTCCTGGAGTGTCCACTTGAAGGTGGCTTTTTTTATTTGTTTCATTTTGGGGTGCTGGTGGCGCAGTGGTTGGTGCGCGCTCCATGTATGGAGGCTGTGGTCTTCCGGGCGGGTGGCCCGGGTTCGAATCCAGCCTGTGGCTCCATTCCCGCATGTCATTCCCCTCTCTCTCTCTCTCCCTGATTCCCAGCTCTATCCACTGTCCTATCTCTCCATTAAAGGCACAAAAAGCCAAAAAATAAATAAAAATAACTATTACTATTACTAATAACTATATAAGTGTTACGCATGATTAGGGGCGTGACAGAAACTGACTGACGGATGGGCGCATTGTAGCTGTATGTCAGGAGGTTAAGGCCCACCTCAGCACCAGCTCTTTGCCTGTTTCTAGATTGACCAAACTCATTCTGAGACATTTTCAATATGGCCGACACCACTGATGGGCGTCAAATGTCTGCTTCAGAACCTAATGTATGACATCACTAAGACTACATCCATTTTTATATAGTCTATGATAAAAAACAGGTACATGGAAGCTCAGTGGATGTTTCGGGGAAAACAATCAAGTTTTATGAACCCGTCCTTCACACTTGTGCACAGAGCCAGAACAAAGTAAGAGGAGATAGGGAGAAATCTATTGTACCTATCGGAAGGTGGAGTACCCGGAGGATAAATTCAATTTTGGATAAATTTGTTTCTAAAAGAGTCAGCTGCCTCTGCATCTGCCGCAGCTCCTGGTGGGAAACGGAGCCAATAAAAAACAAATCTTCAGGGCTAGACGCTATCTATGAAGGTCAAACTGTATTTGCTTTTGATTTGCAGAGTTTGTTTTATGCTGCATGGCGCATCGTGAAAGAGCAGCATTTACCACAGTATGACAAGACAGCTTCAAACACAGACTGACAAGGAAGTAAACAAAAAAAACAGTAAACTCCTAATCTGTGCAAACCCTCTTTTCTGTCTGCAAACACTGCTCAAAGCCTCCATGAATGCATCTGAAAAGGATCAAACAACCGATAAAGAGCGAGTTAATAATCAAATTGGAGTCTGGCTCGTACCCAAAAAAAGTCTCAAACACCACCAGTGTTTTTCTGCAGTTTAAACAGAGAGCAGATGAAAGAGCTGAGCTGGGAGAGAGAGGGGTTGCTAAGCAAGTCTGGACATCTGATAAATCTTGGTAGGATGTCCCCCATCAAGGTAAAGGTAGCCGAGGAGCTTAAAAATGAGCTTATATGACAGTCTCAGTGATACCTGCATGCAGCAGGATTCATAATATACAAACAGCGTTTCTTCCAGATTCTTGCTAAATAGTTTTTTGCTTTGTTGTGCAGCAGCAGGTGAATATGCAAATTCTAGCAGAGACATTTTAAAGTTATTCAGCACTTATTCTGAGAGGCCACTGCTGCTGGAAGGTGTTTACTCTAAAGAGGGCCGACTGTGTGTCAGCTCACAATAACGCTGAGTCACTTTCTATGTGGTTCAATACGCCCACTTTGGAACAGTGTGTGCTCCAAAAAATTCAGTTTTAAACATGAGAAAACGTTTAAAGGGGTGGCTAAACCGGGGCTAGACAGATTTGTGATGGGGCTACAGCGCCCCCTGGCCCCGGTGTAGCACCTGGTCGTACAGCCAATGGCTGGGGAGCATCCGCCTGATTAGCTAAGGCGGGCA